GCATGTGATTTATGTAATTTATGTATGTGTATGTGTAGATAGATAGATAGATAGATAGATAGATGTAGCCTATTACTAAATCACATGGAGAATCTCAATCTTAAATATATCTGCAAATCTCATCAAGGCCAATGCAGTACACACAACTTCATCATGCAACATATATCAAAGGATTTATGAATAATCTGAAGGAGCCAGCCATCCAGCATTCTCACATTTTCTGTGCATCGTCATTCAGGCAAACAACCTTTGCACCAGAAGAGTACGCTGTTTACCAAACTTTGGTTAACACTTCATTTATGTCCATTGATCTAGAGCTGTTCAGTGTCCGAACAACCACTAGATTAATCTAGAGAGGTCAGTGGATCAGAGTTGAAGCCCTCAGCCATGATGATCCTTCAGCAGTGCTGCTGGTTCAGGCCAACTCGTTAATCAGGTTACTTTGCTAATCCTGTTTGAGGCGGCTGTTGGTAACAAGTGGATTGTGCCCGACACGTTTATAAAACAACGTGGTTAAGGGGAAAGAGCGGGCATTAGCAACAACCACACAATGTGGACTTGCGATACCATTTAATTTCCCTTTTGATCTGAAACCAGGTATTACTAAGAGTAATATCGTAAATATTAATACCAGTAAGTATCTCAAGTAATCTATTATTATTATTATTATTATTAGCCTACGCACTATAGTGATAAAATAAGCAATTATTGCCTTTAATATTAACAAACTCTACTACTAACATTAAATGTGCGTTCAGTATTTTTTGTTTATGTTTTATGAGAGTCAATATTGATAAGATTAATTTATTTACCGAGTGCAGATGTCCAGATAAGGTGAGACAGATTCTGCTGGTCATGTGATCTCGGCTGAACATAGCAGCTCATGAGGTCTCCTCCATCCATGTAAAATAAATCTGCTTTATTGGACTATTTATATGTCTGGAGCCTTCATCTCTTTAGAGTGTACAAGATTTTCAAAAAAGTACCGATTTTTTTGTGTAAAACATAGTTTGTGCCTTTAAATGATCTGCCCCATTTTACTGATTTTCATTTATAATCTATGGAGCCGCTAAAGAGATGCGGTGAAAAAATGAGATGGGAGGAGAGATAGGTCTGTTTAAGTACTTTTGTGAGCGAATGCAAAGTTTATTGGGAGAACGCAATACTTTTGTGAGAGAAAGCGAATGTTTTGCAAGAGAATTTTATCCTCAGGGAAACGCAAAAGCACTGAAATATAATTTTCCCTCCCATCTCATATTTTCTTCCATCGCCATGTTCCTGTAGTGGCTTCAAAAATAACAAAGGGGCAAAAATAAATAAATAATAATAGTAATAAATATAAATAATATAAATAAATAAATTGTTAGTCTATAATAAATGTCAAATTTAACTTGGTCGTTATTTATTACGGTGAACTCCAGATGAATTTCTGTCTCCGTCATTATATTAGCTATTGATCGCAACATATAATCATTGCTGCTAGTGTTCACCGTCATTAACTAACTGCTTGATTTTTACCCTACATTTTTTCGGCCATATGGACATCAACTTAGTCACCACTGATAAGCTTTTACTAAATATAATGTAGAAACTTAAATTTTCTGTGAAACTGCTTTGCAACAATTTGCATCGTGAAAAGCGCTATACAAATAAACATGAATTGAACTTGAATTGAATTACCTCTTACAATCATCTTTATTTTAGACAATGAATTCATTTTAAAATGCATGAAGACAACATAATGAATTTAAGAAGTGAGTTTTATTAATCACAAACATACTTTTCAAGAATTCACACAGGATTTGTACCAGTCCTAAACCAATGGGACATTACATGAATTCAGTGAATGAAATATGTTTCAATTAAAATTCCAGCTGTTTCCAACCCAACCACAAACTCCACAGAAACTAAAATGAGTGAAAAACATCTGAACTCAGCCTCCAAAAAAATGTTGCTCAAGAGTTACAAACAAAATTTAAAAAAAGAAAGAGAACTGGGAGCTAAATAATATTGGAATTGGATAAAATGCTCTTTTGGCAGTCAGTATTTGGTACAGCTCTCCCTGCTTTTACTCTTTCAAACCACAACATTTGTCATTTTCTGTTTCCCTCACAGTACTCTAGTGACATATGCAGGGATATTGGGCTGTGATTCATACCTCGCTTTCTAGCTTACTATATAAAATCAATTATATATCGCATAAAACTAGGAATTTCCGATTCCATCTGCTGAATCAACACTAGTGCTCTCTTCTCCTGAAACATTATTTCATTCTACATTTAGGCACTAATACATAATAGAATATCTACGTTAATGACAAAAAAAAATTCCCCAAATAAATGCACAACAACAGGTCTATTTACAAAATATATATATAATATTAGATATGTGTGACCAAAACAGTGAGCACAGAACATTATCATTCCTCTCAAACACCTGTTATTTTCTAATTACTGACCTGGTTTAAGAGCGATGAATTGGATGTGAATTAGAAAAATTGTTCTGCATATTCCAATTAACTGCTACAGCATTTAACAATTT